TATTGACTCCAACAGAAAAGTACAGTGCTGTGGGAGGAATAGTTGGTGTCAGAATACGATAAAGGAGGTGGGAAGGTGGAGGCAATTCTGACCTCTGCCTCAAAGGAATCAACCTTGAGCTGGTGATTCTCCTCTTTCCCCCTTGTGAAACCTCAGGAGATCAGACGTCGCCTCCATGCCATTTTCCTAACATAACGCACTGGACTCTGGCCCAAGTGAAAACTTACAGATATTTGTAGCCATAGTGAGCATGGCATCACAGCTAGATGCCAATTCTTTTCATTTTGGGGAGAACCTACAATATGATGGGCTTTGTGTTCCCAATGACCCTAATGATGCTACCATCTAATGGGTTAAAAAGAACAGAATGATGGGGCCTTACCAAGGATCATAGATGCAGACAACTTCTGGAAACTGTCCAACTTCCACATTTACATATCAACAAGCATATGATCAGCCCTGGGGTCAGTAGGCAGGAGCAGGTGACACACCTCATACAGGGTCAAACAGGGACTCATAAGTGAATGTCTGGAGTGGTGACTTCTCCAGTGTCAGTGTCATCTAGACCAGGATCTGGTGTCTTACTCCCAAATCTGTATGGCTTCCTGTTCTCTTACCTCTCTCTCTCTCTACACCACACACACACACCAGCAGGAAAGAAAAAAAGAAACGGGAAAAAACGGATTTGGATATTTCATGCCTCCGCAGTAAAATAGAGCCCTGGTGTGGTGCTCTAGGGCAAGCACTGGACTGCTATCTAAAAGGTCAGTATTTAAAACCTACCAGCTGCTCTTTGGAAACCATATATAGAGTCAGAACCAACTCGATGGCACTTAACAACAACAACAAGAGGTTGAGGAGCTGACTCAATGACAGTTATAAAACAACCATAATAGTGAAAGGCAAGTAGCCGTGGAGGGAGAAAGGTCTGACCATCATAAATGTATTTAATGCAGACTTTTTTCAAGTACATTTGATAATTGTTTATGTTTTGAACCACTCAGTTACGTCAAGAGCCAAAGTAAAGTCGGAAGGGAAAGGAAGAACTCAAATAGAAGCCAGAGGTCATTCTGGCCACGCAAGGTTTGAAGGAATTTTATTTTTGTCTGGTGTTTGGTCATATATTCCTGCTACTCTCTAGTCACAGAATTACTTTACCACAAATGCTAGCCCACACCTGCTGCCCAGGTTCAGTGTTTTCCACTGTGGTCTGATGGTTACTTATTCCTTCAGAAAGGAGATGCTGGGTTTTCATTTATGGTCCTGAGTTATGAATAAAGACAACCAGGCTCTGGGGATCTGATACAGGAACACTAGAATAACAAAACCATCTCCAAACAACACAATTCCCCATGTAGCTTCTGTAAAACTCTGTTCTGAAAATGAGCCTGCATAAGAACCCTGCCAGGGGCTGCTGGGTGCAAAGGAAATGCCCTCTGGACCAATGAGATGGAGTTACATGTGATCTCACTATCACTTGCCATAGAAACCAGCTGGGTGCAAAAAAGAGAACAGGCATTTTAGGGAATTCATGACAAGGAGAAGGACTGGAATTTAGGAATTTATGCCTCAGTCAGAAAGTAAGCCAAGTCCATCTTGCAAAAGAGTTAAAAAATAGTACGGCTAAACTATAGGCAGGGCAACAAGAAGAAAAACATAATCAAGGACTAAGCCCTCAATACAAGTGGGGAACTGTTAACAATTTGGCTTCCAAAGGAGCATGGAAACAGTATTAAGAAAAAATTCTTTTCACCTAAATGTTTTAATTAAATTAATTAAATGTATTTAATATCCCCTAAGTTCAAACTCACCAGTTGTTCCTTGGAAACCCTATACAGGGTCATTTATGAGTTGGAACCGACTTGACAGCCCTTAACAAGAAGAAGTTTGTATATAGTCTGACTATACAGACTATGTTTGGTGATTTGGAAATTGGGGCAGTGGGGGTGGGGAGGAGATGCCTTTTACAAAGCATAAAAGCTCAGCCTGCCTTCCACTTATAATTTCATAGAAATGGAATGAAATATATGATACAAATATAAGCAGCAACACAAGAAAGCATGCATACATTGGCTACATACATGCATACAATTGTTTCAGTATTTTCATGCAAATAACATGTGCCTTATATGTACTACACATCCCTCCTGCGTTAGTTTCTGATGCACATTATGATCATTAGATACTGAAAATGTTAAGTGGGGAAGATTCAAGGGTTGCATCGGTGTAACCACTATGTTAAGGAGGTCTGATAGCATACACATCAGGCTGCTAATCTCAAGGTCAGAAGTTTGAAACTACCAGTGGTTCTGTAGTAAAAAGATGAGGCTTTCTGCTCCTATAAAGATTTACAGCCTCAGAAACCCTTTATGGGGTCACTATGAGTTGGAACTGACTCCACGGCATATAACTACTAACTATATATAACTACTAACATCACGAGTCTGAGATATGAACACCATAGTCAAAAACCTGAAACATAATTGTCAAAAGACTTGTTATAATTCCAGTAACTACGGCCACATATTTAATGTGGAATAAATTCATATTTATAAAACATGAGACTAAACACCTTTAGCTATCAAATGGATTAGTTTTCAGCTTAAAACACAGTAGGGTTATCTTGCACATCCCTAATAAGTGATTCAAGAGCATTTTTCATCCAGAATAGAGCAATAAATTAAGATGACAGCACTAATCAAAAACAACAACAACAACAACACACATCCCTAATAAGTGATTCAAGAGCATTTTTCATCCAGAATAGAGCAATAAGTTAAGAACATCAAATACAAACACCTAATGAGAATTCTGAAGGGCTGTGCATTTCACCATTTCACTTTGTTAATTCAGTACTCAAAGATGAGAAAGTAGGGATGAGAATGAATCAATTTTAGTCCAGACACTATTATGTTCACTGGTGTTGTTAAATGTTGTCTATTGAGTTCTGACTCACAGCAAACCTGGATAAGGTTTCTGAGGAGTGACTGGTGAATTTGAACCACTGACCTTGTGGTTAGCAGTTCAGAGCTTATCCTACAGAGCCATACGAGGACTCTATGACATTTCCTATGGAACAATCAGTTATTTAATCAGTTGAAGAGCATGCCGGGTACTCAGGATACTCTTTAACGTCATCCTGGGTAGCATGCAGGTGGCTCTGCTTTTCCCAAAGCACACAGACAGTATTTGTACCACTACACTTAATTGCCTCCTTCACTTCTCATTGTGAACATCACCTCTGGGTAGCAGATATATTGCCCTTCCCCTCACTGTAGTGAACACTAGGCTCCAAATCCCCATCATCTCTCCTTGGAGTCCATGGTGCCAGAGAGAAGAACCCCAGCCACTAAAGTAGACTCAACGAATGTTTGTTGGAGTTGACATAATCAGGCTAGGAAAGTTCAGATGCATACGTTCTAACAGTAACTGACTTGATGATACATCCTTCTTGGCTGCTTTCCTTCCCATTTGACATCCCCAATGTCCAACTTCTAATTCCCAGAATCCTCTCCCAACTCAATGATTTATATTTGAATTCTTGTCTCAGGCTACTTCTGGCAGAACCCAACCCTGAAGATACCCTGAGGTGTACTTATTATCTCCAGGCCTAACTTAGTGTTTCTTCTAAAATTATGTTGTTGTTGTTGTTAGGTGCCATCGAGTCAGTACCGACTCATATGAAACACTGCCTGATCCTGGGCCAACCTTACTATTGTTGCCACACTTGAGCCCATTGATGCTGCCACTTTGCCAATCCACCTCACTAGGGATCTTACTCTTTTTCTCTGACACTTCACCTTACCAAACATGATATCCATCTCCAGTGACTGGTCCCTCCTGACAATATGTCCGAAGTATAAGTTTGGCTAAAACTATACCAACTACAAATCATGGTTGATGCTAAGATACTAAGAGAACTATTTTAACTATAGGCAGATGGGTTCTGGGGTCAGAGTTGATCTGGGGTAATGGTGGACTCTTAGCTCCCTCAATATCAATAGTACAACGTTGCACAAATAACTTTGTAAATGGTAGGTACAAGAAAGGAACGATAGGGTGTAGGCAAGAAGGGAGAAGTGAGGTGACAGAAGTCACCTTGTTCTTGTTGTGTGCTGTCAAGTCGGTTCCAACTCAGTGACCCTGTATAGGGTCTTCCGAGAGTGGTTGGTGGGTTTGGACTGCAGTTACCAGTCCAGTACTAATCCTACAGCAGGACTCAGAAGTTCCACAGAGAGCCATTATGTGGGGAACCCATTCAGGGACAGTTTTAGAATAACAATGAGCTGAAGGGAACTTGGCATGCCTCTCACTTGACCTGTGGGCACACCCCAGTTTTTCTCTTTACTTTCAGAATCTCATTCTGGTTTCTATGTCCTTACTTGTGGAATCCAGCCCTTCTGTCTGCATCCTTCTACACTATTCTCTTCTTTCCCACAGTTTTCCATCCAGTCTTATGTCATTGATCCTCCACCCTCAAGTTCCTTTCAAAGGGGATGTCTACTAAGGGCTTACAGCTTTGTACCTGATCTCCTTGCAAACACTCAGACATTTTTACATCCTCCTTTTCAGTGTACAAGAGTCCCAGTGGCAGAGTGAGTAAAAGTGTTGGTCTGCTAACCCCAAGGTGGGTGATTAGAACCCACCAGCAGCTCCAAGTGAGAAAGATAAGACTTTCTGCTCCCACAAACGCTGACAGTCTTGGCAACTGTAAGGAGCAGTTCTACTCTGACCAATAGCATCATTATGACTTGGGATCAATGGGAGAGCAGTGGATTTTTTTCAATGTGGGGCTTCCTATAATTGCTTAGCAACCAACAGCTTTACGAAAACTGCCAAGAAGCCCTTATCTCTTGATAGGGAAGGTGAAGTTCCATTTTGAATTCTATAAAAGTCACAACCCATCTGAGAAAAAAAAAAACTCATAGCAATCAATGATTCCTTCAGCTTATCTTACATTCCCCATCTCCTACTATTTAGAGGATTTGTTTTGGTGTTACCAGATCCTTCTTTCTGTTTAAATATCTTCCGGACAGTGTGGCAGGCAGAGCCATCTCCAAGACACACGCCGCAGCGATCCTCCGTGGCATTGGACTCTATCTCATAGTCACAGCCGACCATCTGTGGGGAAAAGAGGTTGAGGGTGAATGACAGACAGGAGATGTCCCACCTGCCTTAGATCTTTGCCTTCTCTTTTCCTCTCTTACTCTTTATTAAGGTGGAAAACCAAAAAACACCAAATCTATTGCAGTCGAGTCAATTCAGACTCATAACAACCTAACAGGACAAGTTGAACGGCCCCAGAGGGTTTCCGAGGCTGTAAGTCTTTACAGAAGCAGACGGTCACATCTTTCTTCCATGGATCAGCTGGTGGGTTTGAACCACTGACCTATCACTTGGCAGTTGAGCACTTAATCACCACACCATCAGGATCCTTATAAAAGTTAATCATGTTGGGGGAAAGGACTATTTTCATTAGTTACATTCCCTGGCTAGCACTACGAAAAGGAGCTACTTTGCCCTTGTATTTGGGTGGAAATGCAAGATAGAAATACAAGGTGCAAATACAAGGGTAAATTTTCCTTTCCCTAGTGGTGGGGCATTGTGGGATAAGTGCAGAACCACAAGGTTGGCAGTTCAAATTCACAACTGCTCCTCAGAACCCTATGCTGGGTCCTATGAGTCAGAACTGACTCAATGGCACTTGACAACAACAACAACAACAAGCGGTAGCCAGAATATCCACCAATGTTAAAGAAACATTTGCCTACAGGTGAGAGAAGTACATATTGAGTGCCCTCAATGTCCCTGAAGTTCCAAAAAGTTAACTATTAAAATGTCTTTGAAATAGAGTTGGTGGAACATCATTTCCCTTTTAGATGTATAAACTTCAAGGCCCTTGATTTCCCAGGGGTAATGTGATTAGTCCACCTGTAATTTGAATGGTCAATACCTCTGTAATGCCCATTGGGAATATTCTTCCTGAATCCTGTCTCAGGGCAGCAGGTGAACCAGCTGCTGTTGGAGATGATTATGCATTAAATTATATCTCCCCTCCAAAAACAGTTTGGAATCTTAACCCCACACCAGCAGCCCTGATGCCATAGTGAGTTAGGAGTTGGGCTGCTAACCACAAAGCCAGAAGTTCAAATCCATCAGCTGCTCCACAGAAGAAAGATGAGGCTTTCTTCTCCCATGAAGATTTACAACCTAGGAAACCCTAGGCTGTCTAAGGCTTGCTATGAGTCAGAATCAACTCAACAGCAAGCAACAGCAACCCCCTTACCTACAGATGTAATCTTGTTCAGAAATAAGTTTCTTTATGTGAATGAGGTCAACCCAAGTAGGATAGTTCTAAATCTAATAGGCTTTTCCCCTTACATTTGGGTAAAATTTTTCAGAATTGGTTTTCGATTCAGCATTTCTTATGCATTTAGATTTGTGACATTGATTGTAATCCCCACAATTTAAACAGCTCTTTTTCCACTTCCTTTTTGTGTTTACCACTTCACTCTGTCCTTCCCTAACCCTTCCGTCTTTCTCAGCCTTATTCCTGGGCAAATGCTACCCCTTTGATCTCAAATGGTTGATTGTTCTAAGGAGTATATATATACCTGGTGTTATAGCAGCAGCAAAGAAATCAAACGATGCATTGCATTAGGCAAATCTGCTGCACAAGACCTTTTTAAAGTATTGATGAGCAAAGATGTCAGCTTGAGGACTAAGATGTACCTGACCCAAGCCATGTTATTTTCAGTAACCTCATTTGCATGTGAAAGCTGAACAGTGAATAAGGAAGACCATAGAAGAATTGATGCATTTGAGTTATGGTATTGGAGGAGAATATTGAAAGTACCATGGGCTGCCAAAAGAACCAATAGATCCGTTTTGGAAGAAGTGCAGCCAGAGTGCTCCTTGGAGGCCAAGATGGCCAAACTTTGTCTTTCATACTTCAGACAAATTGTTAGGAGGGACCAGTTGCTTGAGAAGGATATCATGTTTGGTAAGATGGGGGTCAGAGAAAAAGAGGAAGCCCCCCCAGAGAGATGGTTTGGCCAAGTGGCAGCATCAATGGGCTCAAGTGTGGCAACAATTGTGAGGTTGGCCCAGGATCAGGCAGTGTTTTGTTCTGTTGTGCATAGGGTCGCTCTGAGTCAGTAGTGACTCGATGACACCTAACAACAACAATTGTTGTTAAGTGCTGTTGAGTCAGTTCCAGTCCACAGAAACCCTGCATAGGGTTTCTGAGGAGTGGCTGGTAAGCTTGAACTGCCAAGCTTATGGTTCAAGTTGATGTTGTAGTTCAGCGCATTAGCCCACAGCACTATACCAGGACTCTGTTCACCTTATTTTGTTGTTTAGTGCCATCAAGTCGATTCTGACCCATAACAACCCTGTATAGGGTTTCCAAGGAGCATCTGGTGAGCTTAAACTGCTGACCTTGCAGTTCAAATGGCTTTGCAGTCTGGCGCATTAACCCACAACGCCACACCAGGACTCCGTTCACCTTACAGGCCTGGCTAATGTTTGGCTGAAAGTTGAGCCATGGGGTGATCTTTTAAAATTTAATCACTTCTTTAAGTTATAAACGGAAACAACCTTGACTTGAACTTATAGCTTCAACGTCTTTAAGAAAATACATTTCTGTTCTTTAAAGGTCCCCACTTGTAGTCTTTTCATTACAGAGGCACTACAAAACTAAGAAGACAAAATAATTGCCAGTGAGTTGATTCCAATTCAGAGTGATCCTGCTAGCTTAATGCTGAGAATATTCCAGTTTCATGAGGGATGAAATCTTCAGGCCCTTTGGAGCATCCTACAACCTCAACCCCAGCGTGAAATCCCTCTTAATGGAGAAGAAGACCTGGTTATTTTTCTTGACCAGGACTCATCTTGCTTCTCAGGATTATGTCCAATTGTCCTCCGGAATCATCATCTTTCTCTCTCCATTGGTTCCTTTACTTCCATTTGCCAACATGACCAACTCTTTCCCACCCAAAATTCCCAGCCAAGGAGCAATGAAACGCAGGATGTTCTGCAACATCAGGTACCAAAGAATTGTAGCACTTAGGCTGAAATTTTTGAAATATGGCTTATTGTCTGCTGGTGACTGATAGGTGGCATCAGTTGAAGCTCTCTGATGCTTGTTTTCTTCTATGGTCTGTGCCCATATCCTCATTTCAGTGCTAAAGTAAAAGGGAAAACATCATATTGTATCAGTCCTATTTTTCCTTTCTGTTTAGGAAGAAGTATACGATGCAAGTAAGTTTGTTTTTTCTTCTTCTCAAAGATCTTTTGTTTTGTTTTTTAAAATATTAAAGACACCCAAATCTACTACTAGAAGGAATGGTCTGAGTCTTTCAATTCACTGTCTACTAGATAAACAGAGAATGAATGCTCATGAATAGAAAACAGCTTCATTCCTCGGGTTAACTGTTTCTAATTTTTCTTGTGGTTGTTAAGCGCCATCAAGTCAGTTCAAACTCATAGAGACCCTGCACTAGGTTTCAAAGGAGTTGGTCGGTTTGAACTGCCAACCTTGCAGTCAGCAGTTCAGTGCTTACTTATCTTACAGAACCATACCAGGATTCTTAATTTCCCTTGTTCTTGTTAAGTGTGTCGAATTGGTTCTGACACATATAATAACCCTGTATAGGGTTCTCAGAAGAGGCTGTGGAGTTGAACTTCAAACCTTGTTGTTAGCAGTCAAGTGCTTATCATACAGCACCTTACCAGAACTCTACTAATTCATTTCTTGACCTACTTAAGTTTAAAAAAAAGTGTAATCATGCTAATTACACTGGGGGAAAAAAGTTGTCTAGATGTATGTCTTCAGTGGTTATGAGGAAAATGCCAAACCTTCACAAGCGATACGTTTGTTATGCCTGAGTATCCTCTAATAAGCTGACCTTTAATAAATCATATTCCTACTGACCTTCATGTTTCACAGGTTTGGAATGAGGCCATGGAAACTTACTCTGAGGTTTCATATTAATTTTATTTAATCTATACCTGGTGGGGAAGAGATAAAAATATGTGAACAATAAACGAAAGAAAGCCAGAAAAGCAAACACCTGAAGTCTGAGTTTGTCTCCTTGATGAGGTGGTTATGTTTTTCCAACATTTGCCTGCATGCCTGGGGGTGGGGCTTACACACACATGTATGTCCCTAAGTCACAGAATAGTAAATGGGTTTCTGTGGAGACCTCAATCAATGTGCTTCTCCTATCAGCTGTACACAGGGCAATCAAAACAAAATGAAATCTACAACACAAGGGCAATCAAAACAAAATGAAATCTACAAATCTATGAAGGGGTGGAGGTGGGAGCAGCAGTGGTTCAGTGGCGGAATTCTTGCCCTTCATGAGGGAGACCCAGATTCAATTCCGGGCCAATGCACATCACATGCAGCCACTAGCCACACATCTGTGGATGCTTCTGTGTTGCCAGGATGCAGAACAAGTTTCAGTGGAGCTTCCTGAATTAGATCTATTAGGAAGAAAAGCCTGCCATTCTAATTCTGGATTGCAGCCAATGAAAACTCTATGCATCACCATAGTTGGCTCTAATCTCATGTCAGGCAGTGTTGAACAATAACAATATGAAGGTCTCAACCAGGCTTCCTTGTTGCATATAAGCCATAAGGAGAAAAAAAAAATCAACAGATGTCACTGTCCTCTTCCATACATGTATTCTGGGGACAGCGGCCCCAAGAATACAGCCTCTCTGCCTTCAGTGGCATCAGAGGTGGCGCTTCTATCATTAACAACTGTGGACAATGGCTCTGGAGGGGCTCTTCTTGGATGTGACTGTTAGGTGTCTAGGCAGCCACTCTTCTGAAAAAAAACATGCCTGTTACCCACAGTATCATTGGTTCACAGCCTGTCATTTTGTCTGTGCAGAGCACATGATCTTGAATTCTACTCAGAAAAAGAAGGGTTCAGCCTTTGACCAAGCATTTAGCTCTAAGTGAGTGAATGATTCATACATATTCTTACCCGCTCTTGTTTTTTGCTTATGAGCAAACATTGTTTTAGTTTACAAGTTCTTCAATGACTAAGAACTGAAATACCATCACCTCATTCTAAAGCCTTTTGGAAAAAGTAGAGACTGGGAAGGAA